ATCGAACCCGGACCGCCGCGGTGGGAAGCCAGCGACTAACCGCTTGAGCTATGGCGCGGCTAAGTTGCGTCTTGCTCGTTATCAATCGCTTCTCATTTGTTCAAGACAAGTGAGTTTATACACCGCGATATTGTGGCCGTGTTCACATAATATGTGACGGCGCCAACAAATGACTTAGGATGTTGTCAGAGCGACTATAATAATCAGATGATCCACAACTCAAATAATAAGCAAGTGGTAATCAACTGGAGGCCTGTGGACCACCTGATGTTCGCGAAAATAAATTATCCGGATCCCGTTAAGATATAAAGCAATTAACACGAGGAGCCTTATCTTTCTCTAATAAGAAATATCGATCTTCCCCATGTGGGAGTTCTTCTTCTTCTTCACCTCTCAGCCATTGGAACTTGGCAGTCCTATATTAATTGTGATGAAATAGTTTTCTAAGTCCTATTCAGATAGGCAAACTGACAGAATCTGTGCATCGTAAAGCCTCTCTAACGTCACAAAGGTAAATCTGTTCCTGTATCAGGCCGTGGAGGCCCATAGGCTTGTGAGACTCCCACATTTTCTAGACAGTCGGTTCACAGATGGCGGTGAGGTTGTTAGCCTTACGTACCGGCCGCCCTTTACCCCCAAGAATATTCCTGGTACTCATTTCTGTTGGAGGCTGAGTCGACCCCAGGGCCATAGTGTGACTGGAAGGATTAGGTCAGTTTAAATACAATTTCCTCATCGGAACTCGAACCCGCGACCTTCCGACTTGTAGCATAGTGCCTCAAGCAGCTACGCTACCGCGTGACCCAAGCCTCTCTAAGACTTCTCTGAACGAAGTAAGACTCCTCGAGCTTTAGTATAAACTCTATCGGCTGTCTCTTGAGGGCGTATTCTCTTGTCCTTGTAGAGACACTGAGCGTGATTGGACAATGGTCTGGACGACCGAAGAATCGGGGTTAGACATTCGGCAGGGCAAGATGTTTACTTTTCTCCACAGCGTCCAGAGCAGCTCAACCTGCCACCTAACGGGTACCGCGGACTCTCTCCCCGGAGGTGAGACAGGCTGGGCGCGAATCTCTCCACTCGTTTCCAATTTGTGTTCCACTGCTCGCATGTCTTAACTGAGCTCAGGAACAAATTTACCGTAATTTCTTGAAAGTGACGTACAGAACCTATTTAAATAGGCCTATTATCAATTACACAGTTACTATCCTTAATAAAGAAATGACCGTTTGATTAGTTGCTCTCCAGATTTTCAACTTTTCGCGAAGGAATCGATTACCGCGAGATATTCTTATAAGAAAATCGTCCTTTTCCGCCAGTCATTTTTCCCAGTAGTGCTCTGCTTTCGATTAATGGATTTAGCCAAAAATTTCAATAGAAAACTTCGTAGAAAGTTTACCTAAATCAGAGTCGCTGGCGTTAAACGCGGCGGCCCGGGTTCGATCCCAGGTCTGGTCAAGTGGGATTTGTGGTGGACAAAGTGGCGCTGGGGCAGGCTTTCTCCGAGTACTTCGGTTTCCCATGCTAATCTTCATTCCACCAAATTCTCCATCATCATAATCACCGGGGGCAGACTAAAATAGGCCAATCACTGGCCGCCGTGCCGAGTGGACCCAGTTGGACTCCACCCCCCACAAAGCGAACTACCTACATCAGTATTGGCATTTTACTTGAAGGCGCAAAGAGGCATTTCCTCAATTGTATCTCATTATCTATTTATCTATAAAGCAACAGCCTGTGCAAATAACTTTACGTTTAACCATGGGACAGGAGTATTTTCCCTTCTAATTCTTCACAGTTTGAGAGACAAGCTGTTCCCTGTATTACTAAATGCATATCAGTGCATGCTGTACATTTAAATTCTAAAACGGTTCTGACGATGGTGTATAACACCCAGAATTTCTGGCGTTTTCGACTTTGACCATTGTTGGGTATTCTAAAAATTAGAGTACACAACGCTTCGGAAACTGGAACTGTTTCCTTTCTCAGGTGAGGGTGTGGGAACATAAACTCTGTTAGATTCCTTGGAAGGCAATGCATCCCACCTTCAGAAAATCCAACAACTGGATAATTTTCTCAAGCCATCTTTTAGTAATTCGGACCAACAGCATATCTTCATTGCTGTGGAAAGTTCATTCAGAAATATCTTTAACAGGTAAAAAGTGATTCCTATCCCTGAGTTCTCATTAGTTAATAATCAGCAGAACAAAATCTTGCCTACCTCAGCTTCGGATTTTAAGAAATGTATCCGTATTATTTCTGACTGAAAACCGTCACAACACAACAATCAATAATACGTGTAAGTAGCTCTAGGAGATACTTTTGCTACATGTTTCGACCTTCAAAACATCATCATCAATAATTCGTGTATCTCCTACAGCTACTTACACGTATTACTGATTGTTATGTTGTGACGGTTTTCAGTAAGAAATAATATATGATACACAACAGGTTGCATTCACTGAAAATTATAAAATATGTCCTTAATTAAGGCCTGAGTCCTTTATTTCCAGCCACTACGGAAATTCCATCCGTGCATACTCCAGTACAGTCTGTTCATTTTGTGATTTCCTCTTTCATCAATTCAGCATTTCTTTTTGCTGTTGCTCTTCTTTCTATAGGCTCGCAGGAAAGCATGTCTTCATTATCTGTTGTGTCCTCAACATATCGCACGTAAGCTATCAAGTGAACAATACCACTACAATCAGTCGCTTCGTCTATCTGTACTGAAAAACCTTTGTTTCTCAACTTCTCTGTCAGCTGCTCTGCCCCTGATACGAGTACATCCGCAATCTGTCGAGCGACCGTGTTGTTTGAGAGCAGCACATTACGAAGCTGCTGAGCACGCTTTCCACGAAACATTGTTTAGCATATATGCCGCAGCAGGGAGTAACAGAGTTGCAGCGATCATGTGCGGCTGCTTGTTCTGTGCTACTCTGCATGATACTAACAGGGTTTGGATGGCGGAGTAGTAGTATTAAAAAACTCTTTTGCTGGATGCAAATTTCATCTAGTTTTCTATGCAAGTATTTTTTTCGGGCTGGTTTTTCATTCCTGGATATTTCGTTTCAAGGTATCAGCTGCTAAGATACTGAGACACACAACACACTGAGGTGTTTCACACTGTTAAATATAACATTCGTGAAACCGAAATAACAAATACAATTCTTTGTACTTACATGATTTCGGTTTCGATATATCACTCCGAATATTACTTGCTGTAGGCTTGCCGTCTGATTTTCTTTTTATACCTGTTAAAAATCTTTGCATTATTCTGTGGTTCAGACAATATCATTTGTACTTGATATTGGACTGTAACGATTATACATAGTAAACATTACGGAATGTATATTCTAGAACTGTGCACTATGAAACTAAAATGCTCACATGTTAATGCATCGTCAAGCGCCTCTGTGGTCTAGTGCTCAGAGTTCGATTCTCTGCGCTACCAGATATTTTCCGAGTAGTAGTGGGCCTGGAACGGGGTCCACTTAGTCTCGTGATATTTGAGGAGCTATTTCAAGGAAATAGCGGCTCCGGTCTAGAAAACCGAAGTTAACGGCAGTGGGGGATTCATTGCGCTGACAACGCGACACTCTCTATCCACAAAAGTTGGCACTAACTTCGCCGACAAGCGGCGGTCGCTCGGTCGGTCTAAAATGACGGGGTTTGTTTTGTTAATATATCGTATTCTATCACTGAAGAATATCTGTAACTTACGTAACAGTGTGTATGATGGCTTCACACGGTTTGTCATAACAGCTGCATTGTTCGGGACTCAGCTTTCCAGCCCTAGAGGGTGGAGAAATTTAGGCGTGGAAATGGTCAACTCGAAGGGTTGAGCAGCTTTCTCGTACCCTTTAACAACAGTGAAGTGAGTTGGTTTAACGATCAGTTTGCCAGCATTCCTCACGGAGCCGCGAAGCTGAGTACCTAACAGTATATAGACTTACACGTATATTGTTGTTTACTTCCTAAATCCGCCGATGCTCTGCGAGTTTGAATTCTGTAGCACTGTATGACAGCTGAACTACCTCAACAAAGCAAAGGATTTTTAAAATGCTTCTTCATGTTTCGTTTAAAATAGTTTTTTCATAAGAACAACCCCCCCCCCCCACCCCCAGCGGGGCGCGCCACACACTTTGGGAACCTCTGGCATAGACCATTGCCAACAGTCCTTTACAGTATTACTGTAACAGTTGCAACTGTTTACGGCTTATAAGAGTATGGTCCGCGAAACTAACAGCACAGAAACAGTTATCTGAAAAACAGCCATAGGATGGCTGCTGTCGGTATTTAATTCAACCTCATACAGAATACAAATTCCGTTTTCAAATCTCTGTGACAAAGCGATGACTTCGAAATGTCTCAAGCTGCGTCTGTGCACCTCCCTCTATCAACTTTTGAATATCTGAATAAACCTTCATAAAACTTGCTGTGTATATCATGGCACCTGAACTCATCTCAACGGCGTAGTTCATAAATCCCTCCAATCAGCCTGTGTGTCTGTATGTGTTTCCTTCCTAGCATTACTAGGCAACGGCTCAGTAAACACGTTCCCACGGTAAAGAATACAAGAAAAAAATGGAAGAACTACTAGACGCCTGTGTCTGTGTTTCTCTCTGTGTATCCCCCTTTCGTTGCTAGGTAACAACTCGGTGAAGATGTTTCTGCGGAAAAGAAAAATTATTGGAGGCGTCTTTTCTAGTCGGTCCGTGTCGTATCAAAGGAAAATGGGTGATTAGTTATTTTCGGAACTTCTGTTGCTGTCGTATGTTCTTTTATTAGAAATGAAGTTTTCTTTTGAGGTGGACATTTTACATTACATTTTGTTATTCATATGTGGCCGTCTGGAAATTCTCTTGTATACTGGCATATCAATTCAATCATCAGCAAATAAGAAGGTATTTGTGTGAACACAATTT